AAAGACCACGAGTCAGAATGTTTTCCTATTTGAATGAATTTATATTTGAAATTTTGGGATTAATCTTGTGAATTGTGTAAGTGTTTGCACAGGAAGCAGTGCTAATATTGAGTGGCAACCCATGGCACCCTTAAACGGAGCTTATGGCACTACAGGGCAGTTGTTACACAGAATTTCTCTGCGGGAGGGTTCTGAATCACTACAATGGACAAGCTTGTCTTGCTTATTCAGGGCTTGGATCCCAGTCTCCAATGAACAGAGGTAAACTTCTCCAGTGCATTGTGTTCAAAGTCACACAGCATCTGTGATATCTACTTACACAGATCAGATTGCAGGATCAAGACCCAAAGATATTCCACGTGAGGCTCACCTGCAGAAATTAATGTTTCTTTATCATTTGTGAAGCTCATGCAATTGAGATGCTTTGTTTTCTTATCAACCCCACTAAAGAAAAATGGGAAGTAAAAATTTACAAGATTTCAACAGCTGAAGTTGGGTGGTCTTACTAAGGCTATCAAGATCTGCTGATCACCAGTTCAAGCAGGAACTCAATGGTGTTTTGTGATGGCTTGTGCCCCCAAACCCCAGCACAACCTCAGCTTATTTTAGGACCTGCACATAAGATGGATACCTCTAAAAGTGTGGGATATATACTGTGATAGGTATCCTGTTTGCAGGTCTATTACAAACAATATAGCCATGACTCCCCCCTCCCCCAATTATTCTTATTGTTCTCATTCACTGAATACCCAGACAGCACCAACTATACCATGACCCCAGCTGACTTCCTGCCCTTTGGGCAGGGGGCTGGACTCGATGATCTTCCGAGGTCCCTTCCAGCCCTAATGTCTATGAAGTCTATGAAATACCGGAACATTTTGTGCAATATCATCCACCCAAAGGCAAAGTCTAGAGAATGCCTTAAGTTACATTCAACAGAAACTGAACTGATCACCAATCTGGTAATTAAATAGGACAAACTGAAAACCTGGAATCCTAAATCCTTGATCTCTTCAGAAAGAGCAACACGCAAAATCAATATAATCAGCCTTAAATCTCAATCCCAGTTTCTAACTACTTTTTAACTCTGTCCCCATTTTCCCTTCTCCTAATCGCCACTACAGGTTCCAGTGTATGCAATTTCTCCAAACTTAGTCCCTCCCCCCTTGGATTTGTATTTCCTCATTAGATAGCATTCATTTTCCCATTGTCTGTGCTAAAGCAAGCTCCAATATGATACAGTTAGCCTTACCAAATAAAGGGATTTCAGCAGCATGGTCTATCTAGAGCTGGTTTTTATTATTCCCCATTCATATTTTCTGTATTAAAAAAGTACATTGTGTAACAGGAAAAAAAAATAGATAAGAAACAACAGTCTCCTCAGTCAGGAGACTACCTGCAGGAACAAAACAAACAAAAGTTTAGATGACTTAGGCTTTTCATTTTATATCTCATTACAATTTAGATCAGTGGGCCAGCAACCTTTTTTGGCTGCGGGTTGAAATGATTCCGTGTGGGTCAGACCGGAGGATGCTAAGACCCAGCCACTGCCACTCCTTTTTCCTGCACTGGCATGGGGAAAGCTCCCACTGCTGCCACTTCTCCTTATGACAGCACAGGGAAAATGACAGATGCAGAAGGTCCCTACTACCCCACATGCATGGGCTGGATCAGATAGCTCTGTGAGCTGGGTCTGGCCCTTGGAGTGCAGGTTTCCAACACCCGATTCAGATGACTGGGCTTTATTGATATGGTCTAGAACAAAGGTGCTCAACCTCCAGCCCACAGAGCCATGGCATCTGGCTAATAGGATTCCCCACAGGTTGGAAAATCTGGCGGTGGGGAGGTGGTGACAATTAATACTGTCACCCCTCCCCTGCTGCCAAATTCCCATGCCCCCTGTGGCCAGATCCAGGCTGGGCTACAGCCCCTTCTCCCTCCCCCTGTGCAGCTGGGGTGGGGTTGGATCTGGTATGTAGAAGGATCAGACATAGCCTATATGGGCTCCAGCCCACTATGCAAAAAGATTGAGCATCACTGGTCTAGAATATGAATGAGATATACTTAATCAGACATCCACTGGTAGGGCCTTTTGGGTGCAAGTTTGCACATTTTATGTTGATGTGCTTGAACTGTGTGATAATTTTTTCCCTTAAGTAAGGCTGCCATGTTTTTTTCCCTAAATTGGTGGTTCTCCAGCTTTACTATTCTGCAGAACACTTTTGCAGGAAGATTCTCACAGACTCATTTCTCTTCCTCTTTCAGCCTCTCAGGTATTTATTTGACCTATCAGAAAGGCAAAATAGAAAACCACTGGTATAATTCAGTTATCTTGTCTTCTTTTACTACTTTATGGTAATTGATGAACAAAAAGTATCAAGGGGTTATGCCTAAGAGCTGGTATCAGCTATATCAGGGAATCTCTAAAGGAAGCATTTCTTTAATCCAAAATAAAAAGGTATACCTTTAATACTAACTTCCTTGGAACCATTACAAATAAGTTGTAGTAGTAATTAGTATTACTTACCAATTATGTACTGACTGTCTCTTCCCCCATTCCATACTGATATCACTTCTACCTCTTTCCTAAAGAGAAGTGTAAAAAAGTAACCAAATAAAAGTCCAACAGTGTACAAGAAGTTACTTTATTTCCTTTTTTAAATATACATATACAAGATATTTTATTTCAAAAGCACAGGAACATTATACAAGTTTCAAATGTACAATTCTGCAGTTAAGAATACCAATATATGCATTATCCAAATAAGTTCTTCTGGTCATCTTGGATGGAATTCTCAGTGGCTTAAGCATTTTGCGCTAAATACAGATTATACTCACAGTGAACCAAACTGCATAGTAAATTATGAAATGAAAGATGATGACACTCATTAGTGGGAGCCCATTTGCTAAAATAATAAGTGCAAATGTACAGAAAAAGAAGAACATCTCTTCCTTTGCCTTCAATCTCCTGCCTCTCCCAATTGCATAAAAATTTAGGGAAACTTTAAACAAGATTTTACCTGCTCAAACCAGCTTCTGTCTCTTTAAAGGACTTTGAATTGCTGATTACCAGACCACAGAATAAAATGATCTTGCAGTGTATTTGTTAACTGAACTTTATGTGCACAAACTTCTTGTCTGAGTGAGGTGCACGGCTACTAGAAACCTGATATATAAATAGATAAAATACTTTGATCTCACTAAGCAGGAAACAGCATGGAAATACAGTTTTGAAGTCAATGATGGTTTCCAGTGAGGCATAAACTGTTCTAATCTCAATACAGTGCTTTAGCTGGTAAACAGTATTAGTAGTAACCTTTAAACTGCCACTGCATGCAAGTCTCCATGACAGCTGTTTTTCTAAACCCAAGGTTTCAATTTATGGATTAGACCAAACTAACAGAACTGATATTTCCCTACCAAGGGATTTCATTTCAGTTTAGAAATCAGAATACATCAAAATGGAGAAAGATGTCTTCACTGCAATAAGGTGAAGACAAGAAAAATACACGAAAAAGAAAATTATTTACATCCACGGGGGTGGATTAACCTGATAAAACAAGCAAAAGTTTTAAGAGTATTTGAGTATCAGAAAAATCAAACATTTGCACTTCTCTGAATTTTACTTTTGAAGGTATAATGAGAGTTGTAACTACTGGTCAGTGCACTCAATAAATCTTCTATGGATTTTAGGAAAATAGGAGAAGGATTATTTATTGTTTGTAAACATGAAATCATGACTTGTAATACCATTATCTTTTCTGTCACTTCACTCCACTACTAGTAAAAAGAATGAAGAAAAAAAAAAAAAAAAAAAAAAATCACACAAAAGCATGTGTGCAATGACAGTTTAAAATTCTTCATAGTGCTCTCCTTTCAAGCATTAATATGACATACCAAAAAAATCCCAACCCAAAACAAAACAATGAACAGTGCACATATGTTCTCTGGATACTTCAGACTTTTTGACATAGGTAGCGTTGCTTGGGAAAGTGGTAGTTAAAAGGGATTTATATATTCAAACTTATCTTTCACATTGAAGTTCCTTGTGTGCACATTATTATGGCAAAAACCCAGTAAACAGAATGATGGATTTTAATTACTGCCACTTTACTGGCAGATAGATCAATCACAATGTGCTACTGGCTACTGAAAGGTAGAGACAGTTTAAAATCACTTGCTCTCCTTTATGTTGTAACTGGCATCTGGCATGATTCCAAAAGCAGTTTATAATGGCTGCCAAACAGATGACACAAAGATGCAGGGTGGAAAGCTCCTCTAACATGGGCACAAAAGGTACTGATTTATGCCTGTTTAGCAAGTCTAAACTTGCCATGTTATCTTTTGTAGTATTGGGGTAACTTTAAATGCCTTTTATTTAACTGCTTCCTGTTCACAGGTCTTCTGTTTATTGTAGCGGGAGGATGGTTAAACAGAGTGCTATAAAAGTAGCATTACATCATCAAGTCTTGTGTTGAATGTGGATGTTTCTGGGTACAATTTCAAAAGTAAAAGCTTATCACGCCAACCAAACAGTGTAGTTCTTGAAACTGTAGTATGTAGAATGCTCTTCAACATATACCGAGGGCAGCTACATTATATAAAATTGCAGTTCTGATAATGCAACAAGCAGAGATGATTTTAATTTTTGATGCATCAGGCAAGACAGAAATGCTCCCATGCACATCACTCCTCATACCCTCTCTTGGAGGGTGGATTACTGGGAACTTTATTCCTCAGAAAGCATTTGCCATTACATCCCAGGATCTAGGATGATGCAGCTTTTTTGCTGCCCTGCCTAATGCTTGCTGAGACTGCTATGGACTACTAGAGGCCTGGTATGACTCCCCCTTTAGTATGCCAGAGACCCTGGCCAGTTTATGTCCTGCTAAACTAGGACTAGGAACCCAGACAGAAAGGAGAAAGGAGGGATTATACCTAAATTCCAGACAGACTCCTGGCATTTCAAGACAAATAGAAGCCATATCAGACACTGTATGTCAAACCTTATATACTTATTTTATTACAAATAGGAACATTAACAGCTTCCCATAATTGGTTCTTCTGTAGGATCACACTTCTACCTGTATATTCAATGCCACTGAGTGACAGTTTGGGCTTTTGGAGTAGAAATGTGCAGAGGTGGACGGGGAAAATTTACCCTCATCAAAATATCTATAGAGCTCACAATTCCCAGAAAATGATTCCCTAGAATATTCAACAGTAGTCACCAATGATAAAAGGCTGCAGATTTTGTTATGGGAGAAGGACGCTTAGTAGAGTAAACCCTATGAATTGAGAATTATTTTGCTTCAATGCATCAGCCATGTCTGAGCTGGATAATCCTTCTAGAGGGCAGATTCTTTAGTATCCTCCTCTTTTTCCCCCATAGTTACAGATTTTATTATGAACTGGGTGTTAGAGCATTTGCCAGTTGAATCCAAAGAAGATCTGATTGGTTTCCTGGCTTCTGGCAATCTCTTCTATGATGCAGTGTTGCTGCCATAGCAGATGGAGTTTCCGGTAACGTTCTTGACATAAATGCAGTGGATTACCTCTTCTTCATGGGAGAAATAAGGATAATATCCATTAAGCATATTAAAATATTAAAGAACTTCAAGTACATGCCTTCTCTATTCTTATGTCCTTTCTGGTTGATCCCACATCTGTGTTAAGTGCAACTGTCTCTAGACAAGCTGTTTTGTTAAGACCCCGACATTAACACCCTCAGCAATAAATTGAGGAAATATTCAGTCATGATACAAATCATCAAATGTTTTCATCATGGGTCTATCAGAAATGAAAAGAGCAACTTTTATAATCCAGTGAAACCACCAGTTATTGGCAGGTGAAATAAAACCTTCCATCAGTTGCACATCCAGTATAGTTCTGAAGAAAGGTAGTAAAAATATTTTGGTGAGAAGGAGTTAAGTAATCACTGTTTAAATGCACCAGGAAAGCAGAGTTTGCTAGAAATTCCTATCCATTCATTATTGAAATTGTGTCAAAAGGTGTTTCAAAGTAAAACAAGTACACCAAGCAAGGGTTTCTACTAACAGATTGTGCAGTACTATCAGGAAACAGTATGCAGTATGACAAGAAAACCAAAGATAAAGATTCCTGGTAAGAAAAAGGAATTAAAAAGAAATTAAAAAACTACTTACTTCAGGCCTGGGTCCGTTTCTCCGTATTCATCTAGGTAGGGAGCAGGATAAAAGCAGCCTCTGGTTTTACTTTCTACCAAGACAACTTTGCATTCTCTGATTCTTTAAAAAAAGGAAAATAAATCCAGGTTTAAAATAAAATATCTCTCTCATCAATAACCCAAAAGTTTGCAGGTACTATTCATAGTTAACTTAAAACTTTTAATAAACTTAAGCATGGTCTATAGCTAAAGTTGCATTAACTTAAAACAATGGGTTGTTTAGACAGGGAAATTACCATGAAATAAACTATGGTGTGAATTTACTGTATACCATCTACTCTGCAATAACTTCCTAGGCAAATGCTGAGGCATTCAGCATCAACCTGTACCTTTTGCTAAAACACAGAAGCTGCTAATGAACTATTCTAAAAATAGTCTTGAAGTATTGGATTCCTTCCTTCCAAACTCACACCTGATGGGTGATACAAGGAGGCAAAGAGGCACCTGTGGTTCTTTGAAATGC